GGGATCACGACCTGAGCCGAAGGCAGACGCTTAACGACTGAGCCACCCAGGTGCCCCCAGAAAACAGACTCTTAACTATCAAACACAAACTGAGAGTTACTGGAAGGGAGGTGGGCGGTGGAATGCGTTAAATGAGTGATGAGTATTAAGGAGGGCACTTGTGATGAGCACTGGGTGTTGTATGTAAGTGATGAATCACTAAATTCTACTCCTGAAAGCAATATTGCACTATATGTTAACTAACTGAATTAAATAAAAACTTGGGGGAAAAAAGAAACAAAAACAAAAACAAAACAAAACAAAATCTGCTTTGCTATTTAATAATAAACCATGAAATTTTCCATCCAAACATATACCCAAATTAGTTTTTCATGGCTTGGTAACATTCCACTAAATACATGAACCATAATTTATTTTTTCTAGCTTTATTGAGATATAACTGACATATTGTGTAAGTTTAAGGTATATAATGTGTTGATTTGATACACTTATATATTGGAAAATAATTACGTTTGTAGTGTTAGCTAATACTTCTGTCACCTCGCACATAATTACCATATCCTTTTTGTGGTGAGAACATTTAAGATCTACGCTCTTAGCAACTTTCAAGTATATAATACAATATTATTAACTGTAATCACCATATTTTGCATTAGATCCCAAAAACTTATTCATCTTATAACTTAAAGTTTGTACCCTTTGACAATCATCTCCCCATTTCCCCCACTCCCCAGACCCTGTAACAACTGTTCTACTCTCTGTTTCTATGAGTTCAGTTGTTTTAGATTCTGCCTATAATTGACAACATACAGTATTTGACTTCTGTCTGACTTACTTCACTTAGCATAATGCCATCAAGGTCCATCCATGTTGTTGCAAATGGCAGAGTTTCTTTCTTTCTCATGGCTGAATAATATTCAATTATATGTAATGTATATATAATCCTGATTATATAATATTCAATTATATATAATATAATCCTGATTATAGATGTGATATGTTTATATCATATATATATATAATCCTGATATATATTATATGTACATGTATATAATCACATCTTCCTTATTCATTCATCTGTTGACAGACATTCAAATTGTTTCCATATCTTGGCTATTTGTGAATAATGCTGCAGTGAACTTGGAGGTGCAGGTATCTCTTCAAGATCCTGATTTCAATTCCTTTGGATATGTACATAGAAGCAAAAATACTGGCTCATATGGTGTTCTTTCTAAATTTTTCTTGAGAATCCTCCATACTATTTTCCATAGTGACTGTTCCAATTTAGATTCCCACCAATAGTGCACAAGGGTTACGTTTTTTCCACATTACCACCACATCTGTAATCTCTTTTTGATGATAATCATTCTGTCAGGTGTGAGGGATATCTCAGCACGGTTTTTATTTGCATTTCCCTGATGACTAGTAACAATGAGCACCTTTTCATGTACCTGTTGGCCATCTGTATATATTCTTTGGAAAAATGTCTGTGAAGTTCCTCTGCTCATTTTTTAAATCAGATTGTTTGTTTTTTTGCTATTGAGTTGTATGAGTTCTTTCTATCTTTTATAAGTTAACTCTTCATCAGATATATGACTGACAAATATTTTCTCCCATTTGGTAGGTTGCCTTTTCATTTTGTTGAGTTTCCTTTGCTGTGCAGAAGCTTTTTTTTTTTTTCTAATGTAGTACCACTTACTGATTTTTGCTTTTGGTACTTGTGCTTTTGGTGTCATATCCAAAGAAGCATTGCCAAGACCAACGTCAAGGAGCTTTTCCCCTATGTTTTTTTCTAGGAGTTTTATGGTTTCAGGTTTTAGTCTTAACCTAATTTGAGTTAATTTTTGTGAGTTTTGTTTTTTAAGATTTTATTTATTTATTTGACAGAGAGAGACACAGCGAGAGAGGGAACACAAGCAGGGGGAGTGGGAGAGGGAGAAGCAGGCTTCCGCTGAGCAGGGAGCCCAATGCGGGGCTCAATCCCAGGACCCTGGGATCATGACCTGAGCCGAAGGCAGACACTTAATGACTGAACCCCCCCAGGCGCCCCTTGTGAGTGATTTAAGATAAGGATCCTTTTTCATGCTTCTGCATGTGGTTTTCCAGTTTTCCCAATACCATTTATTGAAGGGACTACCCTTTATCCATTAAGTATCTTGTCTTCCTTGTCAAATATAGTTAACCATATAGGTTAGGGTTTATTTCTGGGCTTTCAATTATGTTCCATTGGTCTATGTTTCTGTTTTATGCTAGTACCATATTGATTTGATTTCTATAGCTTTGAAGTATAGTTTGAAATCACAAAATGCAATGCCTCCAGCTTTGTTCTTTCTTGAGATTTCTTTGGCTATACAGGGTCTTTTGTGGCTCCATACAAATTTTAGGATTGTTTTATCTATTTCTGTGAAAAATGCCACTGGAATTTTAATAGGGATTGTATTGACTATATAAGTGGCTCTGGACCATATGGATGTTTTGACAATATGAATTCTCCTAATTCATGAACACGGAATATATAAACACAACAAATTATTGTTTGTGTCTTCTTCAATTTAATTCATCAACATCTTATAGTTTTTCAGTGTACATATCTTTCACTTCCTTAGTTAAATTTATTTCTAAGTATTTTATTGGTTTTGATGTTATTGTGAATGGGACTGTTTTCTTTGTTTTTCAGATAGTTCATTGTTAGTGTCTAGAAATGCAACTGATTTCTGCGATTTGTATCCTGCAACTTTACTGAAATAGTTGATTAGTTCTAACAGTTTTTTGGTGGCATCTTTAGGA